GTAGAAGGAAATGAGGATGCTGACATACTGGCCAAACAATCACTTTAATTGCAAACAGTAAAAATTAAAATCCCTAACCCTAACCCTAAAGCAGAAAGTAAAATAATCATAAAGAGTCAAATGCAAAAAATATGGCAAGAATATTGGGACATAAATGACACAGGAAGACATTTTTGTATTTCAATTAAATTCATGTGGGTTCCAGCACATTTAGGTCTGAGGGGAAATGAGGAGGTGGACAGGCTAACGAAACAAGCATTACATAGAGACACCATAGATTTGCAAGGCAAGTGAAGTGGAATATAGAAACAAGGGGAAGATCTCTATACAGATTAAACAGTAAAGTCAAATCAACAATAAGAAATATTGGTAGGTCAAGAAGAGAGGAGTTCATATGCAACAGAATAAGGCTAGGTCATTCCAACTTAAACAGTATTATAGGAAAACACCCAACAGGCTTGTGTGAATATTGTCAGGCAGAGGAAACATACATGCAATTACACAGTATGATAACGTATGAGCTAGAGAGACAAGCTATGAGGGAAGAGCTCAGGAACTCTCCGGAGCAGAAGGTGGCGGTAATGCACCTATTACGCTGGTTGCTAACCGCCGTAAAAAACTAAAAAGAGGAAGAAGAAATAAGTGGTTCCTGTTTAACTCGGATATGAATCTGTGTGTTACGAGGCTGAAAGGCGCCGAGCTGAAACCTGTGTCCGTTATTCTGACCGGTAAATATCCACCGACTCGACAGTCCTTCCTCAGGCTCCGGGACTCACCGGGAGTCTGTTGAAGCTCCGACCATTTCGAGTCTGCACTGAGTCCGGCACCGCTGCAGTGTCGGTCATGGCGGCGGGAGGCGGCGCGGCTCCTCCGCACGTCGGTGATGTTGAAGAGGACGCTTCACAGCTGCTGTTTCCCAAAGGTCTGTAGCCTCCACAGTCCGGTCTGAAACCCGGTTCTGATTGTAGTTTAGTAATAACCCGCTTCACATTTATCAAACCTTTGTTTTATCGATTAAAGTTAGAAAAGACGGTGTCACAGCTTGTTCACATCCACACCACACTGGACCAGGTCTAGGTGAAAACCAGTATACTGAGAGTGGACAGAGGTGGACTAGGTGACCCCAGAGAAGATGGAGACAACGGCAACAACGGAGAGATTTCTTTGGTCTTTTCACATGTAGACCACATTGGACCAAGTCTAGCGCAATAAAGGTCTAGACTTGGCAGATTTGACCAGTCTAGTTTAGTTTAGTGGTCTTTATCTAGACCTGGTCCAGTGTGGTCTATATGGTGAAAGCACAGTTGCCCTTAAATAAATAAATAGAGTTTTCATAACTTGAAGGTGGTTTTTATGTTTCCCTCCAGTTCTGAATCAGACTTCAGTAAAGAGAGGGAGTCCAGACCTGGACAATTTGGGCTTGACACCATCACACCCACAGGCTCAAGGACAATAATGAGACACGTGATCTGTGTATTCTATAAACAATACATGAGCCAGCAGTTACTTTAATGATTGATTCATTATTATTTTTAATCAGTGTCAGAATAAAAGGTTCTAGGTCCAGGTTTTCTCCTCTGACAGTACACTGGAGGTTTTCTGATTGTGGTCTGCTGGTCTCTTCAGGACCTCAGCTAGGACTCTGGGATACTGTGACACCATATTAATTGTTTCTGATGGTTTATAGACCCAGTGATTGATTGCTTAATGGATAAAATGATCAACAGATCAGTCAATGATGAAGATGATCAGTGTAATCAGTTACAGTGTGAACAGTTCAATCAAACATGTGATCACTAAATGAACTAGTAAATATTTTGGGCTGGAGGCTAAACAGCTTTTCAGTGTAAGCTGGAACCAGGACCTGCTTGCTGAGACTCTGGTGGCTGCACCAGTCCCTCCTGGTCTCTGTTGCGGAGGTGGTTCAGGTGTAATTCTCCTCTTATATGTTGTTGTGCTCACAGAGTTTGAGAGCGCTGAGACTCTGCTGAACTCTGAGGTCCACATGCTGCTGGAACACAGGAAGCAGCAGAACGAGAGCGCCGAAGATGAGCAAGAGCTGTCCGAGGTCTTCATGAAGACTCTGAACTACACGGCCCGGTTCAGCCGCTTCAAGAACAGAGAGACCATCACCGCTGTCCGCAGGTACAGCTTCACCTCCTACCTGTCCTTACACAAAGTCATGACACTGTAAGAGACAAAGACAAGGATCTGGATCTGACTCTGTCCCCCTCCTCTCTCCTCTCTCTGTGTCCTCAGTCTCCTCCTGCAAAAGAAGCTTCATAAATTCGAGTTGGCCAGTTTGGCAAATCTGTGTCCCGAGGCTGCTGAAGAGGCCAAAGCCCTGATCCCCAGGTCAGTCTGATCCACATCACACCCAGACCGAGACCTCATCACATAGACAGAGACCAGATTACACCACTGCTATTGCTATTCACAGAGACTCACATTTTATCTTACCACTAAGAGTACTCCTAAGTCACTCTAAAAGTTTTCTCCTAAATCTTCTTCAAAAAGCTCTTAGTAAGGAAAAGTCAAAACTCCTAAACTAAGAGTGTGACTCCATTGCTATGGCTGATGTAATTCTCATGGATGAGCTCGCTTGCAGGAACCACAGTGATTGGTTGATGAAAGACTGGTGTGTGCCAGTGAGAACGCATGCTCAACATCCACAGTAATTATATAAAAACACTGAGAAATAAACAAATACAAATTAAATAACGGATTAGATGCAGTTTTACAAAAGTAGTGCACTCTCTAAAATGCATCTGTATGATAAGGTTTGTGTTGACCTGGGAGAATTTAACTTTACTATAAAAACTAACATTCAATTCACTCAATGGAAAAATAAAAAAAAACCTTGCCTGTCATAGTTGACCTTGGTCCCGGCTGTGGGTTGAGGTGTGAGAAGATTTCCACTGTCCCACCAGGTGACATCCAGCTGGAATATGATCCTTTCAAACAGCTGATCAGGTCACTCTCCACTCAGATCCATGACTCGTGTGTAGATCCTGGACACTGTACAACAATGTCTACAACTGTACAGGCAGCATCAATACAACCTGTGTGTTGATGGTGAGATTTTGTTTTCCCTGTCTACAAACACGTCATTGTCTGATGGTGCAATGGTTTTTACATGCATTCCATTTATTTTTCCAACTATATCCATCTTTATTTCTCTGTAGCTGTTGAACATCTAAAGGAAATGGTATGAACTGTCTGATGCTGAGTCTACAGACACATTTATTGTTTGGTGAATAGATCGGCTTACAGAAGGCTGAGAGGTCTCCACCTGTCAGCTTTGTAAAGTTGCCATGTAGCAGCACAAACCGTACAGTGTGTGAGAGAGAGAGAGAGAGAGAGCTGCAACAATGAGTCGATCAACAGAAAGATAATCAGCAGCTGATGATTGATCAATGTTCAGCCTCTTCAGTGTGAGGGTCTGAGGGCAGATGCACTAAACACCTGAAGTTAAGATTTTACTTTAGGCTACTTTACTCTGAGTTAAGGTTAAAAAAAATTAAATAAAAACAGTTGCACAAAACACCCTTAAATCTTCTCCTTAAGGTTTCCTTAAAATGTTCACTTAAGTATTCAAGGTTTTCTCCTTATCTCAGTCTTATACCTAAGAAATCACTTTAAGTCAGTGAAACTGTTGCACAAAAGAAAAAGTAAGGAAAAATCTAAAGGCAACTCTTTCTTAACCAGAACATGACCAAGTTTAATTAATGAGATAAATGAAGAAAATGAAAACAGGAGGATGAACTGATTCTGCATCACACATTTGACCTGCAGTCAGTTTATGACCGTCTAGAGTAGGTTCACTACTTTCCAGCTCCTTAATGTTTGCTCTACAATTTCATGCGACAGATCTTTCTGGTCAGGTGTAGTCGAGGTGTTTCATGTCCACTGATCAACAGTGCAGTGTCATCCACAGAGTTTAAACACTCTGACCTGCTGAACAATGTGGTGAAGTTCCCAACAAGAGGATGAGATGGTGGTGCACTTCTTAAGTGTTGTCGGCTTCCCAAAAGTGATAACAGGTATTATAAGCTAATGGCAGCTAACAAACAGTCTTGATGGAAACATTAGAATTTTACCTCTGTACAGTCTATTCTGCTGAATATTACTGACCTTTTTTCCTTAACTAAGGAAAACTTTTAAGAGACTCTGTGCAGTAACTGCCTCAGATGAAGAGAAAGCAAACTCTAAGTGTCATACTTAAATAGAAAACTTAGGGTGTTTTGTGCAACCAGCCTGGTTCTTGTCTGGATGTGAGTTAAAACAAGAAGACATCTGAACCTGAGAAACTCCAATGGACATTTTCCAGATAAAATGATGAATCAAAAAACTAGTCATCAGATCAATCAATAATGATGATGACCATCAGCTGCAGTGTATGAGGAACATTTCTGATGGTCAAACCAGCACGTGACTAGAGTCTGGATTCATTTATTGATGAACGCCGCTCTATGTCTGTTAACACACACCTGTGTCATTTCAGCCACCTGATACTAATGTGTTTGTATGTGTTTGTGTGGTTGTATCCAGTCTGGAGGGTCGGTTTGAAGACGAGGAGCTACAACAGATCCTGGACGACATCCAGACCAAGAGAAGTTTCCAGTACTGAGTCCAAATCCAGGACCAGGCCTGCTTTCTGGTCTCTGCACTTCCTGGTTCTCCTGGTGGACTTGAGTCTCGGTCCTGCTCTGACCAGCATCAGGCCCCTGTCCTTTCTACAGAATTTTACTTTACATCCAGGATGACTGAACTGAGCTGATGTGTAGTTATAGGATCTGATGTGATTTGGACGGATCAGTTTTTTTTGGTCTCTGTGTTCACTGTGCAGCTCATCATTCCCTCTACTGTCACAATAAACTTTGATTTGTCTTTTTTTACACAACACATTCTCTCGTTTCTGTCGGTGTTAATATTGAACTCGCTAGGTTCAGAGCTGAGGTCTGGAGAAACGGAGGCACTCAACACCTTCACACACAGCAGCAGATTCATGTCGTGTTCAGTTTGACGGTTGAAACTCAGTAGTAGTTTGAACAGTGGACCTGTCATCTGCAGCAAAACCTGGAAAAAAGAACATCAATCTAAACACAGTGAATTACAAAACTTAAAGGGGTTTTTCATCATTTTTCACCAGTTTCTTTACAGAAAAGATAAATGTGTACCATAGCCTGTCATACATTGATGCAGAATACAAGAATGTTTCCTAATAAACTGTTAAGTAGCAGTATAAATGATCTGGCAGGTCTGCTTTTACCAGTGTACAGAATCTGCCACTTTTTGAAGGTAGATAGATAGATACTTTATTTATTCCCTACGGGAAATTCATGCAAGAATTCTGCAGCTGTCAGAACCTTCAGAGAACAGAGGTCACTACTGATGCAAACTGAAACTTAAAACAAACAAGTAACATCTGGCTGAAATTTTCAAAATAAAAGCTTCACTAATGTAAATGGTTCTAAGTATTTGGACTGACAAGCATTAAGTTGGAAACTGAAAATTTCTGCAGGGGTATCTTATGGACTCATGGACTTCGTAGTTAACACATTAAAGGTGGCAAACAGTTACATTTTTTTGTTTTCTTTCCGTTTCATAAACATTTTTTATCATTTTCATTTGTCTGTCTCATTTTCATGAAAATGTTATCTCAGTAACACGTGGAGGGAATTTCTTGAAATTTCACACAACATTCACTTGGATTCAAAGATAAACTGATTAGATTTTGGTGGTCAAAGGTCACTGTGGCCTCACAAAACACTTTTTGGCCCTACCTCACAAATTCATACAATAATGACACAAAGGTGTAACAGGCTAAATGAAGTGGTGACATTTTATATCCAAGAGGTCAAATGTCAACTTCACTGTGACATCATAATGTTCTGTCATTATTCAACACTAACTCAGAAGGAGAGACTGACCATATTTCCTGATACTTGACTGGTTAAGGAAACAACCAGAGGAAGTGATTCTAGTTCCCTTTATTTCCTTGAAAACTTGGTTTCATAGTTATTTACTATTTTTGTCTGTGACACTGAACATTCAAACTAAACAAGTAACATTCAAAGTCAAAGATCATCCTTCATTAAAAAATAACTGAAGACAACTGTGTCTCCAGGAGAATCTGGACCAGAGCTGCTTTAATGTCTGAGCATGAGCTCAGTGACAGACTCAGTCTGTCACACATTGACAAAGTATGCTGCAGTGGTGCTGGAGTCCTCAGGGTCCTGCAGAGCCTCAGGCAGGACTCCACCGGACGTCTTCACCATCCTCACTGTGTTCCTGCTGAACAGAGTCCTCTCATAGTCCATCAGCTGTCTCCAGAAACCAGCATTAGGTCTGATGAAGGGTCGCTGTTCCAAAACTTGCTCATGAGCCTGACGGAGGCTGAGACCTTCAAACCTGCACACAGAGACCAGAACCCCCACAGAGTCCTGAATTACAAAGAGATACAAATGATCACAGAGAGAGGAGGTCTCAAAGTGGCACACTGGACCCACACAGTGAATCTTTATGGTGGGGTCTGATGGTTTACCTCATCAGGTAGGCCATGATCAGAGCAGGGGATCGGCTCCTGCCAGCGGTGCAGTGGACCAGAGTCCTCCCTGTCTGGTTCTGGTTGATCTGTTCAGCCACAAGGTCAAAGTACTGTCTGAGGGGGGCGTGAGGTTGATCCTGGACCGGGACATGGAGGACCTGCAGACCATCCAGCGAAGGGTAGGACACATCCTCCAGTCCACTGGCGTTAATAATGAGGGTGATGTTTCTGCTGGCCAACACACTGAGGTTCAGAGCCGAGTCCAGACCACTGAGGAAAAGACCAGGAGAGACCTGAGAGACCGACATGACCTGCTGCAGGAGAGAGGGACAACACCTGTCAGACAATACTGAGGGCTCATCCAGGTAAAAATCAGCTGATAGAAGAACGATTAAAAATAAATACAGATGTGAAAGATTCACATCGGGAGCATCTTTCAAACACAGAGATAAGTTAAATAAATGTATTACAACAGTGAGACAATGAAAATTGAATATGATAAGAAAAGAAAATAGAAAGGGACAAAAACAATAGACCCGACATAGTTTGAGAGCAGTAACAAGACACTTCAGAGAAAGAGTTTTTATTTAGATTTGAAAAAGTTATGTTGTAGACTTTTAAAATATTTTTTTGTGATAACAGGTTGAAAATGAAATGATTGACCAGTGTCTAGATTGTGGATTACCTGGACAAGAGGACCACAGTATGTCAGACTGGGTAACAGGGGGACTGTTCTGGCTCCGTTCCTGTTCACCCTGTATACGGCGGACTTTAAATACAACTCTGAGTCCTGCCACATCCAGAAATACTCAGATGACACAGCTATTGTGGCGCGTATCAGGAACGGGCAGGAGGAGGAATACAGGGATCTGACGATGGCCTTCAGTGAATGGGGCGACAAGAACTGCCTCCTTCTGAACACCTCAAGACCAAGGAGAGTGCTTCATAGTGTTCTGAGTGACAAGGATAGTGACAGTCATCCTTCGGCCTCACAGATACATAGTTACATTAATAACTTGTGATCTGTTTCGACCTCACTCTGACCGTCACTATGGTCTAAATAGAATGACTCATACCAAAAAGGTTGTGAGGAACAGAAGAACTTAATTCTCTGAACCTCGCTGGGCAACTGACATCAGAACAGTAGTGCTAACTGGTGCTGGACAGGTCACATCAACCCTGTAAAATTTCGCAAATGTGCAAAGCGTAGCCCACGATGTGGCAGCACAGATGTCCCCCAAAGGAACTACCTTCAGTGCAGCCCACAAAGTAGCTACGCTTCTTTGTGTCTTCTGGACACAGTGTAAGCAACTCCTCCTGCTCCCCCTGTGAGGAGGAAGAGGGTTGAAACTGACCCACTTCCAGAACCTGGTTCATGGGCAGGATTAGGCCAAAGTGATACCCCTGAGCCATCCGCCCTTCACCGTAAACAATCACTACTAACAGAGAGTCCACACAGCTCTCCTACCCGTCTCGCAGAGCAGAGAGCTAAAAGAAAAGCTGTCTTGAGAGATAGAGCTTTCAATTCCGCATCGTCAATATGCTCATATGGGGCCCTTGTGAGAGTCCCAGCTTGGTGCTCGCAGGCTACGGCCTGGGCACAAGTGCTTAGCGCCATTCAAAAGCACCATCGATCCTCACATGAAATGCTGAAATGGCGTGAGCATGTACTGGCTGCCTTTCCTTGGTCCAACAGAGACTGCAAAAAGCGAAGGACAAGTGGCACAGGACAAACTACAGGGTCAACATCCAGGCCAAAACACCAGTCTGAAAAGATTCTCCACCTCAGTAATTAGCCCGTGTGGATGGGGCCCTGGCATTGTTCAATGTCTCACCGACATCCCCGTCTAGCTGTTGAGAGGCAGACTTCCCAGAGGCCATACCCAAAGCCAGAGGTCAGTTGGGTTCGGATGCCAAATTTGCCTGTCTACCTGTGACAGAAAATCCGCTTGGGATGGCAGTTGCCACAGTTGACCCTGTAATAGCTGAATCAGGTCCAGAAACCAAGGCTGCCCTGTCCAGCATGGAGCAACCAGCAGAACCGTATAACAACCCTCCCTGACCCTCTGGAGAATTTGAGGAATGAGAGGGAGAGGGGAAAAATCATACAACAAGCTTTGTCACTCTTGTGGCTGAGCATCTATGACCAAACTCCCCCTTGATCCCTGAGGGAGTACCATTCCAGGCAATGAGTCATCTCTAGGGATGCAAAAAGCACGACCGGGGCCACCCCGTATCGAGCCCAAATTTGTGCCACCACCTCTGGATTTAACCACCACTCTCCTGGGAGAGGCCCGATCCTGGACAAAATGTCGGCCACCTTCTTTGTGACAATATGTGTATTCGGGGATATGGATTGCCCTTAGAGAGGCCAGGCAAGGCCACGCCCATGTCACTAGCATCTTTGCTACTTGAAGACAGTGCAGTGACTTTGTTTCACCTTGACGATTTATATGGTACACTGCAGAGGTGTTGTGTGTCTTTACCAGTACATGCTTGTGTTGCAGAAATGGCAAAACACCCTTGAGGGCCAGATGAACAGCCCAATTCGAGTACATTTATGTGTGACCAAGGGGGTTCCCACATGCCCCTCACTGTCCTGCTTTCCCACACGGCTCCCCAGCCTGTCTGTTGTGTTGTGATCACTTGTCTTCTGTGAGGAAGGCTCCCCAATGGGGTTCCACTGAAAGGGAGATCCATGTCTCTCCAGGGGAATAGGGCTTGCATGCAGTACTGCGTCACACATAGCCTCATTCTCCTGTCTTTCTTTGGCATGAAAGCCCTGCTCCTGAACACCAGAAGGGCCCCCATTCACATGTCTTGACCAAGCAGGCTGCTGCGGCCTTTGAGGTACTCCTGACCCGTTTGAAGACCGGCGTTGGCTTGCGGCAAGCCCAGTAGACAGTTTCCCTTACTGCAATAGAACACTCAGCCCTATCCAACACATCTTGTGAACCCATATGAAAAACCTGACCAGGTGTTACTGGCGAACTCATCAGTTCAGTTCATATGGCATCCGGCAAAGAAGTCTGTGCCAGCCATATTTGTCTACAATCACCAATGACATTGCCTCTCCCACGTCACGTGTCAATTTTGGGTGGGCTGACAAAGCCCCTTCCTGGGGAAGAAAGGATTAATTGAAACACGGGCTGGCCTGAGAGATGTCCATGATGCTATTGCCTGTTCTACCGGGGGCATATCTCCCAATCCAGTTTCCACCGGGTAACAGGCATTAGCCAACTGCCTACAGCCTGCATTAAATTGACACTTTTGAAATGGTTTCTTGGAGGATGATAATAATAATAAACCATAATGGCCCTGAGGCCACAACACAAGTCCACTGACTGCGAACAGCAGTAAAGGGAGATGGGCCACACTAGTACGCGAACGTACCTAACAGGCCCACACTAACCCCACCAAATGCAAACAGTGATATAGGGCAATACTCACCAATTTGTAATAAAGCAAATCAAAGTGTTCCTTTTAGCTAACCTGACAGCAACAGCAATTAACACAAATAATATGCAGCCATAGCTAGCATGTGTTGAAGAAAATTAATTCAAGTCCTTTGTTCCAAGTTTGCCGTAGTGGTGTGAGTTTATTGGTATTCCAGAATACGGTGACCCTACTGACACAGAGCGGGACTGAGGCAATAGACTGACCCAGAGTAAAGGGCAGGAGGACAGTAATATAGTTGAGGAAGAGGGGGATGGTCAACTGTATTTACATACAGTAAATACAGTTGACCATGTATTTACTGTATTTACATACAGTTGACCTGGGGTTGCAGACATGTGGTCAGACAGGATAAGAGGACCAAAAGGTGTAGAAACAAAAGGTAATTTTCTCTAGAGGCCTTACAGTGTAACACCTAGGGTCAGGTTACCAGGTGGCCAGGACGGGACCCCCAGACTGTTAGTAAGGTAAGGGTATTGTAAGGTAGTGAGGAATTTAGCAAGATAAAGGAAGAGGGCACTGCATGCAGACAGAGTCCCATCTACCCAAATGTATATTTTTTTCCTCACATGCTAGCAAACTAGAATCAGGCTAACAAGATAATAAATGCAATAATATCTTAACACTACTGTGCAATATATGCAAGGAAACTCCCACAATTCACAGGGAGACAAGGCACCTGCACCCTATGGGTGATGAATTTAATGGTAGATAGCAACGCAACTCAATATCTTACCCAGAACTGCATTGAGTGTGACACTCACGACCCATTGACCCAAATGACCCATTTCACTTGCTCTTACACCACACTTCCAATTTCTCATGCTGGGGCAACTATTTCTATGGTCATCAGACTGCAATTATACTTAGACTGTAGCAAATAGCCCCTGTATAGACATTTACAGTCAGGCAAACTTATGGCTATCTATAGTACGACCCCATTCAAGGTGGGACGCCAGGACCAAACCTTGACTTTTCATTGAGAAAGTTATGAGCAGTTTGGGATTTAGTGCCGCTGTGTTCCTCGACCTCGATCTTTCCATGTCTACTTTCCAAAGTTTGTGCGTACCAGTAAGTGAAAGTTGCTTATTTATGAGTATTTGGATGAGTATTCATGTGTATTCTTTTCAGCTGAATTACTGTTATCAACTCTGTCACTAGTATATAACTTTGAAATCCACAAACTAACTGACATAGTATTGCTAACCTGGCTCAGCTAAGTGTTTTTGTTAGCAATTGTGAAAGCTTAAGTCACACATATTGCAGGCATGGCTGAAATGTTAATATGTTGCTGCAGCTAGATAAATCATTTGTGTTCTTTATACACCTATTAAAATCTTTGCATTTTTTGAGTGGTATCAGAAGACCACTGTAATGATACAATTATACTCTAAAAGTCTAATTTTAAATTAAACTTTTTGGTCTACTATTAGCGACATCAAATTTAAATATTCATTGTTGTTATATTAGCTAAAGGATGTGTGAGTGAGTGTGTGTGTGTGTCTGTGTGTGTGTCACTTAATCCTATTTTGCAGTAGCACTGAGAACAGATAACAGAACTAGTAAGAATTGTCATATCATATTGCAATTGGTAGACATACTTGTGTAGATTAATTAAACCCACACAACTGTTTAGGAAGAAGAGGGAGTAGTATGAGGAAGAAGAGGGAGAGAAGGAAGAAGAGGGAGGGAGGGACAACACTGATTTGTGATATATTTGTTTTTATTTATGTATTTGTTACTATTTATTTCAGCTTGTTTAAAAAAAATATTAATAACAAAGTATTTTTTCAGTGTCAACTGACTTGACCAAATTAAACATATTCACAAAATGAGCCATGCTGTGTCTTGTGTCATGCTCTGTCTGTGTACGTTTCTTTTTACAAAGTTAGTATTTTCCTGGACCCTGTAGTGTGTGGGAATGGCCTAGAGGAGTGAATGTCTCTCACTGATTCACTCATTTATTCCATCCTGTCCACATACCGAGGTTGTGATCTTTGGCCACCGGGGGAGTGATCCCTCTGGTTGCCAGGAACAGTTATTTATATGTTCATTTGTTAATGGTTAGGTTATGGTAAAGGATGCTTAGAAGTCCCCACCCACCCAAAAATCCCCTTTCTCACTCCAAGGGTTTCTGAAAAGTTGACTGCCCCGCTCTTACCTAAACCTGGTGTCTGATGCCAGAAAGGCAACGAGGACGGGCCCGAGTTTAGCTTCGCTTTTATGTGCGGGAAGTTCCGCTTCCGGGTCATGGGCATGACTTTGTTTACATATGGTCTCGAAAGTATAGGGAACGATGGTCATTATTCTATTTAGACCGCAGTGAAGGTCAGAGTGAGGGCGAAACAGGTCTACAGTATGTTTAAACGGATGAATCGATTCTGTTGCCAGAAAATCAATGAATAAGAATAGCTGCAGGGCGCAACCTGTTTGGGGCATGTGCGGACACAGTCGGGTCTACGGAGAGTGTCACGGGATAATTAGTCACAGTCATTTTAAATAGAGTCAGTTTCACTTCTTTTTCCACTCCGGCTGACTGGCTGTACGTAGGTACACAGGTAAGACCCGCTCTTTCTGGCCTTAACTTCGATCTGATAATAGACTTAACAGACAGTCAGTGTCTCACTACAGCAGTTTACAGACAGTGAATCTCTGAACTTAAACACTGATCTTAACTTAGGAGAGGAGCGGCCCCGTTACGTCCCAGCGAGTTTCCGCCAAACTTCATTCAGAAATGTCACAGTTTAAGGCTTCCTTCATTTCTTGCGGCCACTCCTTGGTGATATTACAGTGTTGAGGACATGTTCTGTAAGAAGTGAGCTTTCAGAAGTATTCGGCCTTCATGCAACATCATAATAACTGTTAGACCGGCGGCAGACTCAGTCACTAACTCTGATTGTCCAGTATTCTGCTGGAAGAACGCGACACAGAACAACTATACAAACATAGATCTTATGTCATGTAATGTTGCTCCTTTCATGTGTTTTATGCCAAATACAAGAGTGTATCCGAACTGTTCGCCACATGTCCGAAGAACCAGGCTGACAGCTTTTCTTTTGCCAATAGTCAGACGGATGTATTTTTTGCCACTTTTTAAATGGAGTTTGGTTGTAGGCTTGTAGCTGTCAGAGCATTCAGTTTTGACGTCAGGCAGTGCAGCAAAGAGCAGTGGTCAGAACAGAGGTCTCCTCACCTGTTTACTCCTGACTGAATGGTCCAGAGGAGTTTCTCTATCAGGTTTAAATAACAATCAAACATCCGGCTTCAAGACTTCAAAATAAAAGCCTCACTAACGAAACTGCTACAGGCTTCAGCTGTTTTCAACAAGTATGAAACTAAAATTTTGGAAGTACATAAGGCAACGTCACACATGGTAATTGTTACATGTTCAGGTCCCCATCTTAAATAGGTTTAACTTTTTGATGAATACGTTTTAATTTTATGTACAAGTGACTTTAGTGAGCTCAGATCAGAATTAAAGTCTCCAACATAAAAATCAGTGTGTGCGAAGGAAAACATCTCAACTCTGACAGAAACAGGTGAGATGACGTCGACACACGTGGCATGTCTGAAACTCAGATGTGGACATGATCTGTCATATATGAACTAACATGAGGGAGTCTCAGTCTTTTTCTAAGTTTTGTCAATAACTTTTTAAATTGTACAATAAGTGCATTTTCTCTTTGATATTTAAATGTGAGCACAGTGTGTGTGTTCAGTTTCCAGTCCTCAGTCTGTCTGAGTCCATAAACCTGTTCCTGTTATGATGTAGACCACATGAAAATGCAGAATCAGAACAACCAGACCCCGACAGGAGCTGAGGTCACAGCGACCACTCGGACCCAGAAAACCATCCTGCCCCAGGTCAGATACCATCCAACCATCCAGACTCAGACTTCTGGAGACAGAGCACGACCCCAAACCCCTAAAACCACTGAAACCAGAACCAGTCGAACACAGAAGACTAGACCTGGAACTGTACACCCCTCTCAGACTCTGAGTCAGCAGGGGGACAACACCGCCCAGGTTGATCCATTTCCTGCAGTTAAACCATTTCCTGGTGGAGGACAACACCAAAAACAGAGAACTCAAACACCTGTTAAGAAGCAGAATCAGAAACTGGTTCAGAGTGTGGATACAGATCCAGATCCTACTCAAAAACCAGATCACTTCTCTAACAGAGCCCCTCCCAGACCAGAGGAGGTTCCTCTGGGTCTTACGGTCCAGTTGGACAGGTCTGTGATAGAGGAGGTGGAGGTTCTTACCCGTGGACAGAGTACCAACCAGGACTGGTTCTCTTGGAGGAAGAACCGGATCACAGCCTCTGTCGCTCATCGCATCGCTCACTGCCGCTTTGTTAACGGCAAAAACAAAACTCCACCCACCTCCTACCTGGCTGCTGTCACAGGTAGGCCACACCCCCCACATCTGAGCACAGACACTGGTGATTCTGGTCTACAATAGTTATTTTCATCACTGATTAATCAGGTGTGAGAAATGTTCCAGTTTAGTTCAGATCATTTTCTCTTCTAACCAGTGATCAACAACAGAGTTGATCATTGATCAATCATTAAATCAATCAAGCAAAAATGTCAAGAACTCTTCAGATCCAGGTTCTCTGTCTTGTGTGAGGATGTTTCAGTTTTTTACTTGCAGACGTGTAAAGTCAGACAGTAAAGAAAACACAGACTCCTTCAACTAAAGGAAATGATTCAACAAGAAATCTCAGAAATAAAAAGTTCAGATCACAGAACAGTAATCAAGTACAGAGTCAGACATAATCAAGAATTCATTAGTTACTAGTATAAATAATAATTCATCTTTTAATCAGGAAAATAATCATTAGTTAAAATAATTGTTAGTTTCAGCTTCACTTCACTACAACATGAAGAGAGACTGTAAATCCTGTGACAAAATCTGTTGTTTGTTATTCTCAACTGAAAAATTATCAAAATAGTTGACTGATTGATTGATCAACTAATCAGCTGATTGACTGTAACAGTTATAATAACATGGTTTCTGTATTTTCAAGGTGTCAGAAAATAATTTGAAGGTTTTGAGTGAAACTGTTGAACAACAGCAGCAGTGAACCAGGACCTGATACTAGACCCTGCTGGACTCCCTAACAAACTGGTGTCCGTAGACCAACAGGATGTTTTCTACTGACACAAGTTATCAAGTCATAAACAACTGATCACAAAAAAAAAAAAGATCAATAAAATGTATCACTGTAACTTCAGGCTGTAGTTATATGGGTCTGAGACAAAAACTGGTTCAGGGTCTTTGTTGGAGAGTCAGAGAAGATGAGTCATTTATGAAGCTGACTCTTATTCAACAGGTGAGGGTCGCAGAGTCCAGACCAGAGCCATGAGCTGGGGGGTCCAGATGGAGGCCAAGGTCGTCCACATCTACCAGGTACAGTTCAACACAATGATTCACCTGACCTGCTCCACCTGATCCTGTTCAACCTGCTCTGAGTTCTAACCCCAGAGGACCAGGTTCTGGTTCCAGGGCTAATACTGACCTCATCAGCTTCTGTATCAGAAGAGAAGGTTGGACAGGTGTCCTGGTCCTGATGAAAACCAGAGGACCTGGTCTCACTGAACCCTAACATCAGCTTCATCAGTCACAAGATTAAAGTCTTCTGAACATGAGTCATGTTGTGATGAGCTCAGAGTGGAAGAGGGAGAGTGATACAGAGGTACCACATGTTGTGGTGATGATGATGATGATGATGATGTCGTCCTGCAGAGACTGAAGAGTCAGGCGTTAGGTCGGTTGGTCATGGTTCAGGACTGCGGTCTGTTCATTGATGCTCGCCATTCCTGGTTGGCAGCAAGTCCTGACGGCATCGTGACGGACAGCCGGACCGGCCGATGGCTGCTCTGCCTCGAGGTGAAGTGTCCCTACAAACACAGACACAGACGAGTGGAGGATGCCTGCAGGGAGGACCCTGCTTTCTGTCTGGAGATACAGGACGGAAACGGACGGGAGCCCGGAGGGGTAAAAAAGACTCCTCCTTATCGTTGTACTCCCACCTGTCTGTCATCTCCTGGTCTCTAACGTCCTTTCCTTGTCTTCTCCTGTTCTCTAACGTCCTCTCCTTGTCTCTAATGTCCTCTTAAAGTCCTCTCCTGGTTTCTAACGTCCTGTCCTCATCCTCCTGTCCTCCCCAGTCTCCAGTCTACCGTCTGAAGACATCCCACAGTTACTTCACACAGATCCAGTGTCAGCTTGCGGTGACAGGCCTGCAACAGGCAGACCTCGTTGTCTACACCATGAAGGAGACAGCCATCGTCCCAGTGACATTTGACCCCGACCTGTGGGAGGAGACAGTGTCCAAGTTGGAGGTGTTTTACAAGGATGCTGTCCTGCCTCATCTCAGAAAGAAGACACAGCAGGAGATGGCAGCAGCCCGGATGCCAGAGCTGTAGAGAACAGCTGGAGCTGAGTCTCCTGCTGTTCTCTGCTGACCTCTTTCCAATCGCTTAACCTGCTGCCAGCTGCTCCAGTGGGTCCAGCTGGAACTGAAGTGTTGTCCAGAAACCTGGACCCTGTCCTCATCATGTAAACAGACGAAGGACCTGGTTCCAGCTGTGGTCAAACAACACAGTTCATCTCATGTATGTATGCGTAATGTAACTGTTTTGAACATTTGAGCTGTTCCTCTCGTGACCACTAGAGTCTGGCTCCAACAGTGAGTCAGTCTCCATAGACTCCCATGTTAAAATGTCCAACTTTACAGCAGAAATAAACATGTTTACAGCCTGGTACAACAAACAGTTTTGGTCTCTAGAGCTTATTTCCTCCTTCATGACAACTGTTCATATAACTCACCTTAAAGTTATGTAGAATTGAGGGTGTGGCCTCTTTGAGTGACAGGTGGGTGAGTGTATGCCCGCCACAAGCAGGCATTCGCCTCAGCTGCACACACGCCCCTCCACTTTTTTGGATTAGCTGAGAGTTAGGGGCGGAGTCAGACACCGCCAACATCGCGATAGTAGAAAAGCTAACTGCGCTTCAAAAACCTGTTGGTTATGTCACAGAGGCTACATCCATTATTATTTGCAGACTTGGTTAAAACCAGCCTTTTACAACACGTCTGAGTTAAGAGATAAATTCAGAGTTTGATGGATCTGAGTTTCAGGAGAAGAATAAAAATGTTTCCGTACGAGGTCTAAAGTCCTGAAGGTCCAAATCACAGTGAGTCTAAAGTCAAGTCCAAGTTTGAGTTTGAGTCCTTGATTATCTTCACAGGACGTTACAGCATCTGGTGTTTAACAGCTTTATTTTGATTCATACTTGATCTTTTAAAAAGGGAAAATTAAAGACTGATTTATTGTTTTTTAATAATTATTGTTAATCTTTAGTTGGTAAAGATGTTGAGTCAGAGTCGTTGGAGTCCGTCACCTGTGCAACATGAAGATAAATAAAACAGTGAGTGAAGAAGAGGCTGAACACATGATCTGATGGTTTTTTATTGTGTTTGTCTCTGAATGTAAATATAATGTTTGATGTCAGGTCCTTTAAAACTGATAAAACTTCAAACCTCTGCTGAGTTCATCCAAAACTAAACCAGGTGTGATGTGACAACAAAATGACAACAGACGCATGTTTGACTTTAAATAATCTCCAGATGGTCTCTGACGACAACTCCTCCTCCAGAGTTCACTGTGACCTCATCAGGTGAATAAAAACAACCAATCAGCTCGCAGCAGACCATCACCTGCAGTAAGAGATGAGAAAACGTCCTCCTATCAGCTCTGACAGCTGATTGGCTGTTGTGACAGGTGTTATTATGGAGGGGGCGGGACTTATGTTACTAGTGGTCAGTGTGAGCAGAGCCTCACAGGTAACCCTCCTTCCTGAACTGATCGTGCAGGATGTCTCTGTACTCGTCGAAGCCACCATCGATGCGTTGAACTTTCCCGCTTTCACACACCCACAGCTCCTTACACACCAACCGGATCAGACGCTCGTCGTGAGACACCAGGATGACGCCACCCTGAAACACATGACATCACATACCTGAGAAACACTTGTCCATTGAAACAACATGAAGAGCAAAGTACAATAGTTGAATGTGGAAATAGAAGAAGAGTTTGTTGTTTAAACAGTTGATTGTAGTTTCACGTGTTCACCTCACCTGATGACAGTCGTCAAGGTGAACACACAGATCACTGTCAAATCACAGTGTTGATCCTCAGTCTCTCTTCATCTCTGATCGTTCATGAAGTACATTCATAAACAAGCTCAAACATGAACTGACTAAGTTACACCCACTCTCTGCAGGTGAAACACACCTGAGCCTGTCTGAACACAAACAGCTGATGGTGTGTGTCAGGGAGCTGAACACAAACCAGAGCTGAGCTGAAGACAGGACAAACATCTGATCTGTGACTGTGTGAATCAAACTTCAGGGGGAAACTGTGTTGTGCTCCGGGGGAGGGGGGTGTCTGTTGTTGATCAGTGAACACTCTGTTGTTCTCCTCTTTAACACAAAGAATCATGATACTGAACCATCTGATAAAAGGAAGTGAGGGTAAATCTGATATCTGGTAACGTTACCATGACAACACATCTGAAATCAGCGGTCGGCGTGAGGCAGAGAAGGCTCCACAAATTAACCACACACACTCACTCTGAACTTGTTGAGAGCTTTAGCCAGAGCCTCGATGGTCTCCATATCCAGGTGGTTGGTCGGCTCGTCCAGGATGTAAAAGTTTGGACTGAAGGACAAAGAGACAACATTATCATCATCATCATCATCATCATCATCATCATCATCATCATCACACACACTAACAGGCGATCCCTGAGCTCTCTGTTACCATGGCATGGTCATCTGTGCGAAGGCGACCCTGCTCTTCTGTCCTCCTGACAGACTGGCCACTGGCCTCGTGGCCAGCTCTCCAGTGATACCGTAACCTCCAAGCTGGTGGCGGTACTCCTCCTCTGTCCGACCTGCAGTGCACAGACAACAGCCGATCACAGCTTAGCACCTGGGTGCAGTTAGTTACTGTTGTAGTTAGTGGGTGTTGTATTTGCCATAGTTACCAGGGAACCTGTTGAGCAGCAGCTCCACAGAGCAGACATTCAGGTCCAGCTGATCTACATGATGCTGACTGAAGTAACCGATCTTCAAATTCCTGATGGGACATGATGTCTGGTTAATGGCTGCTATAAAAACCGTTCCTTGTAAACTGTTACCTGTGAACCGTTCCATAAGAACGCTTCCTGTAATGGCACAAACATTTCTTTAAAAATAGTTCCCTATTAATGGTTTATCATAGGTGCCCTACAATTACTACATTAACTATTCCCTGTAAACTATTTCTAAAGGGTTCCCAATACAATACACAATCTGTTCCCTATTAGCAGTGTGTTAATTCCACAGAAAAAGTTCACACTGTTTTTACGAAACTGTCACTAACAGCTCCATAAGCAAACATTAAAAGGTTCCCTGAATGGTAAACATCCCTATAAATTAAACCTATTAACAGTAATGTAAACGTTCCCTCTGAATATTTCATTAAAAATAGTTCCCTGAAAACAGAATGTTGTTTAATAAACAGTAGGTTTATTAACAGCTCCCTGTCCCTGTAAATGGAATACGACCGTTTCCTACGAGGATCATATGAACAGTGACAGTGACCTATGACATGTTCCCTACAAACAGTCTGACACAGGTAACCAGACTCTGGTTCTTCCTGTGCTCTGATTGGTTGTTAGGTGATCTCACCTGTGACTTTGTCTGACTCCGTTGATTGGCGTCAACTCGCCCATCAGCAGTTTGAGGACAGTGGTTTTACCGGCACCGTTTTCACCAACCTGACAGGAAAAAGTACGAATAAACTGACTGTTATTGATCAGTGTGATTAGTTGAAAATTAAAACCATCCTGACAACGAGTTTTCAAGAGTCGAGGTCATTAAAAGATTTTACTAGTATTAAGGCACTAAACAGCTCCGACTGACAGCTGTACAGTCAGTGATTGGTGGATTTTATGGTTCACGGTGACACGTACGATGCAGATGCGAGAGTCGAGATCGGCTGACAAGTTGAGCCCAGAGAAGAGCCGCTGGTCTGGAGAGTAGTAGAACTCCACCTCATCTAACTGCAGGATGGGAGGAGACAACTTCTCAAAGTTATCTGGAAACCTGCAGGAAAACACAATATGTCAATCAACCCATCACCATGGAAAAGGACATGTGAACCAGCTGCGGTCACAGGGACATCCAGCTGCTCAGAGATGGTGTTGAGCTGCTCCCTGCTGTCCCCAGACTCCTGTCAGAAAACGTCACATCTGCACAGACAGTTTCCCCCGCTTGGTTAGTTAGTCATGTGACCTAATGTTGATCAGAGGGTCACCCGGTTACTGTGATTCACCCTCTGTCTGAACCAGACGAGTGATGATGGAGGTCTGTCCTCTTACCTTAAAGTGACCTCAGTCTCTTTTTCAATGGGCTTCAGCTCAGGTCTGCAGGAGGAGACAACAGGTAACAATCAGACACAGTGTCACAGTCAGAGACAGCTGGTATCACATATCTGCACCAGGACTCACAGTCTCTCCAGCAGCTTCAGTTTGCTCTGGACCTGAGCTGCTCTGTTGGCGTTGTACCGAAACCTGTCGATGAACACCTGAAACACAAGCAGTGCATCATGGGAAAACAACATCATGATGTGACCTCCATCCACTGTATCTACCAATCAGAAAACTGACAAAGTAGTAGTACCTGTATGTGTTGTCTGTACTGCAGCTGTACCTGTATGTGTTGTCTGTACTGCAGCAGTAGTACCTGTACGTGTTGTCTGTACTGCAGCAGTAGTACCTGTACGTGTTGTCTGTACTGCAGCAGTAGTACCTGTACGTGTTGTCTTTGTAGCTGCAAGCAGTAGTACCTGTACGTGTTGTCTGTACTGCAGCAGTAGTACCTGTACGTGTTGTCTGTACTGCAGCAGCAGTACCTGTACGTGTTGTCTGTACTGCAGCAGTAGTACCTGTATGTGTTGTCTGTACTGCAGCAGTAGTACCTGTATGTGTTGTCTGTACTGCAGCTGGGCATCATACTCTCTCTGCTGGTTCTTCAGTCTGTCTTCTTTGGTTTTAATAAAGTTTTCGTAGTCGCCGCGGTAACTGTCGAGGCTCTGGGAGTGCAGGTGGATGATGTCTGTTACCACAGCATTCAGGAAGTTTCTGTCGTGAGAGACGACCAAGATGGTGGACTGCCATGTCTATGGGAGGAGGTACAGGACTTTAGTATTTGCCACTTGTTAGCTTGTGGCTAACAGTTGCCAGTGTTTCCAGTGAGGAATGCTAATGTCAAAGTGAGTCATAGTTCAGACCTGCAGGTAGTTCTCTAACCACAGGATGGCTCTGACATCCAACATGTTGGTCGGCTCTGAAACAAAATCACAGCAGGAATACAGACTACTACAACAGTACTGCTACTCCAACAACTACCATCACAATACAACAACCAATACTGCTCCTGCTGCTATACTATTACTGCAACTCCTATTAGTACTCCTATTAATACTACTTATACCTATACTAATACTACAACACTGTAAATCCTACTCTTAATACTTGTTCTCCTTCTCCTTATGATCTGACTACTACTACTCATATACTATTTCTCACATACACACTGTTAACACTACTCCTACTAATGATACTCATACTGTTTGTAATACTTCTACACTACCACTTCTAGTACTCTTAATACTAATCCAACTGCTAGT